TTGGCTACTTAACTTTCGTCTTCTATTGCTATCATTACTGCTCACACTCGCAGTGTCCACCTTTAAATTCTCATCTCAACGACCCACACAAATACAACCAAATTCGTCGTATTCTTCGCTAAATTTCTTCGTCGACAACAAACGTTTAGTCACTATACTTTACTGGCACCACATTGTAATTACTGCTTAAAATTGGCTCAATTAAGCACTCACTCCAAATGGATCCCGAATTGAGAGCAGTAATGCAGCCGAAATCATCACAAATGCTTTCGAAAATGCTTTCTAACTGTACGGCAAGATTATTATCTAACACCGTAAATAAAATCCCAAAAGCAGAAAGGAAATAAACTCAAAATACTCAACGAAATACTATTACAACCATATGAGTAACATTAGTCATAAAAGAAAAAACTTCGGGATTCAATTCGACTAGTAATGTTAAAATCGGAAGTAATTTTAAGTTGAAGCCTAATGCAACCCAACCACAAAACTATTTCATCGATTATCTTAAACGCTAAACTCAAAATATAATGCTGCACACACAAATAAGCGTAAACGCTTAACGTAGATATATTTTAAGCAAATGGACATGGAGAGATGTTAGATAAAAGAAAGCTATGTGATTAGGTGAATTATTAATGATGCGTTAATGAATTTTTGATAAGTTCCACTTCGCAAATGCAACTAGCCACAAGTTAACGTCAGTTAACTTCCCTCCTCTCAAACTAGTCCAATGAATGAACAACATCCACCTAATCTACTATCGCTATTATTATTATCGTGATGTCCTTCTTAGTAAACTCAAAGATCCAGTGCTTCAGGAAGTAATGGAAGTGAACATTGAGGAGTGGAGAATTCGAATTGCAAGAAATAAATTTCGTTGCTTTTCACATGTTCAATGAATGACCCAAGGGGTGCGAACACCCTCAGTTGACAGACTTGAGAACTAAGAAAATGATGAAGCAACACTCACTATCAGAGAAGTAAGTGAATATTCATTCACAACAACAAAAGAGTACGAGAAAGGACTACTGACTGACTGACGTTTATCTCTGAAACAATCCCAGTGTGCTGAAGCTGAAAACCGCTGAAAGAAAGCATGCAAAGAATGAAAAAATAATGATGGAAACATTCTGAAAATTTCCAATGAAGAAATATTTCTAAGTGATAATAACTGAAAAGAAAATCATGTTTCTGAGCGTAAATATTTTTCTGCTCAACTGCTGAAAGTATCAAGTATGCATGTGAATCAAAAAAAAAAAACGGACCCTTTTAACTCTCAACACTCCAACGCTCGAACTGCTCGAGTCGGCTTCGGTTGTCATGTAGAAATATTTGTGTTCGTCCATCAGCTCATACGAGAAAACGTTATCCCTAAAAAATAGAAGTGAATGAATTACATTAATGAACTCAAAAACAAACTAAGTCAATTGGTAAGCACATTAAATAGTTCAACATTTAATTTCTTTGACATTCAGCGACCAGAAACAGATGGATCATAAATGAAGTATCACATCTAAACTATAAGATGCGAATGGCACAGCATTCATGTGCGATTCTCGGGGCATCCCGTGAGAACCCGAGTGAAATAAAGACTTTGAGCGAATTTTGTCGAGAATCTGACTAAGAGGTTGAAGATCAACCCACTTTGCTTCATTATCACGGTCCACCGCCGATACACTCATCACTGGTGCTCCGACAAGGGCTGTTTCGGGCACTGAGCTCGTATAGAGCGGTTTCTCGAAATACGGCTCGTTATCGTTCACATCGAGCACTTTGATTGTAACATTACCAGCACCTGAAATTCGAAACTGACATGTAAATGGTCGCAAATTTTCATTCAGGCCGATAGAAGAAACAAATTCCATGAAACACTGCTTGAATATTGTTTTAAGCAGTGTAATCAAACAGTAACCAATTTTTTTAAAGTTTCCGAAAATCAGTTACAGTTTGGATTTTAAAAAAAATTAGTTATAAGGACAGATAATTCAATCAGTTCACTAAACTAAGAATCGAGAAACTTTCAAAGATTACTGAATTACTGACCCTCTCGTGGTGGATTTCCTTTATCTGTTGCTCGAACTTCGATCACAAACTGCCGTTCTGATGGTAGTTCACGATCAAGTTTGCGCTGAAATCAAATCAAATCGATCCTGATCAATTTCTCACAAAATGTGCTCAACTGAAAAATAATGAACTCCTTTGNAAATCAAATCAAATCGATCCTGATCAATTTCTCACAAAATGTGCTCAACTGAAAAATAATGAACTCCTTTGGAATCACCAATTTTATGTCAGTTTATCATTGCTCCAGCAAATTGTTAGAAAAATCACTGCATATCTTCTCGCATGAATTTTTGCTCATAAAACACTACGTTAATTTCATTTCGCTTAAACTATCACTATGCGATATTGTTGCTGTTGTTCATTATTCTACACGCGTTTTTTCCATCGTAAAATTCATTTACCATAGCGTAGATTTTTCCGTTC